ACTGTTCTAGAACAGTACCTGGCATATGGTAAACTGAGTGTATTCATCATTTCTGTTGCTTATAACAAAACACCTTGGGTATTTTGTAAGAAAATGAAATTTATTACTTACAGTTTTGGAGGCTAGGAAGTCCAAAGTTCAGGGAACACTTATGGTGAGGGCGTTCTTTGATAGTGGCTTTTCAGCAGTCCAGGGGTCTCATGTAGCAGAAAATGGCAGAGCAGAGAGAGCAAGAGAGAGAAAGAGAGAGAGAGAGAGAGAGAGAGTTCCTCATGCACTTTCCTTTTAAAGCCCTTAGAACCACACTCCTGACCACCATTATTAATCTATTCACTACAGCATGGTCCTGCAATCTAATCACCTCTTCAAGGCCCCACATTTTTATTACCATAATAGGATTTTCCACCTTCAATAGTTACAGTGGGGATTTAAGTTTCAGTGACATCCAACCTACAGCACTCAGTAAGTATTTTTTTGCTGAAGTTCAAGAATAGCTAAGATGCTCTTGACAAAGAACAAAATGAGAAGACTTGTTTTAGTTGATGTCAAGCCTTACAAATCTAAAATAATTAAGACAATGTGGTATTGGTGCAAGAATAGGCAAACCAGTGGATCATAACAGAAAGTGCAGAAACATACCCATGGTTATGAAGATACTTGATATATGTCAAGCGGGAGGAAAGAATTGGTTTTTCAAAAAATGGTATTGAGACATTGGAATCCATATGGGGAAAAATGAAATTGGACCCCTACATCATATCATATACAAAAATCACAGATTAAGGACTAAATATAAAAAGCAGTACTTTAAAACTCTTAGAAAATTTATCAGTGAGATATTGCATAACAACCAACCACAAAATATCAGTAGCAAATTGTGATGGTTAATTTTATGTGTCCACTTGACTCGGCTACAGGGTGCCCAGATAGTCAAACAATATTCTGTTTTTCTTTTTGTTTTCTGTGAGGATGTTTTGAAATGAGATTAACATTTAAATCAATGTACTTAAGTATGTACCTCCCTAATGTGGGTGGGCCTCATCCAGTCAGTTGAAGGCCTGAATGAACAAAAAGGCTGATTCTCCTGGAGTAAGAGAGAATTTTCTCCTGCATTCCAATTGGCACATCAGCTTTTCCTTGCATACATTCAGGCTCAGACTGAAACATCAAGTCTTCCTGAGTCTGGAGCCTGCTGACTTTTGGTTTGGAAATATATTATTGGCTCTCCTGGGTCTCAGGCCTTTGGACTTGGACTGGAACTACACCATTGGCTTCCTGGGGTCTCCAGCTTGCAAGCTTATCCTGCGGATCTTGGGATTTGTCATCCTCTGTAATCATGTGAGCCAATTCCTTATAATAAGTCAATCTGTCTGTCTGTCTGCCTCTCTCTCTCTCTCTGTCAGCATATAAGTGGAAATCTAAAAAAACAGAAAGTCACATGCTATGTAAACTCATTACAGTTATATAAAAACATGTATGTGGATGAAGCTCAGAAGATAATATGCAAATTTTAAAATAGTAGTGTTAGAAAGGTGGGATCACAGGTGATTACTTTTCCATATCTCAAAGTTTGGGATACTAGAATCTGTATGGCAACTCACTACTGCAACACACTAAATGCTTATTTTGGAATGAAGGTCTCTGTGTGCTTTTGCCATGATCCCTATTTCTCTTGCTTTCAAGCACAAGATGTACAAAGTTCATATTGAACCTTTCTTGCCTCAAATCTAGAATTAGTTATTTTTCCAAGGAACTGTGTGCTACAGTGGTCAGTGCTGTTGGACTGTCATTACTTCTAGCTTGTGGGTGGAGTACATAGGTGTGTGTTTTGCTTGTGGTTCTAGAATACATACATATGATGGACCTTTTAAAAATATGCAGCAAAAAGCATATTGTTAGATGAAATAACAAAGTCAGAAAATTCCATTTATATACAAGTTCATAAACTGATAAAACAAGCAGTTATTTATTTTGCAACATATGCATCAGAGGTTAAAAAAAAAGGAGATGTAAGGGAATAAGTCATGCACATTGAGTGCTGATTATCTTTCATAGAATATTGAGGGGGATACAATTAGATAACTTCACTTACAAAGCTCCTTGGGTGGTGAGTATATAGATGTATATTTTGCTTTTAATTCTGTAATATATATATATGCTAGGCCCTTTTTTATATGCATGCAGTATTTCACATTGCTTATTTATGAAATTTAATCATTATTCCTACAATTTATAAGTAGTCTTTAAGTAATTTCTGATCTTTTGCAAAGTAGGCAGAAAGAAAGTTCCTTCTCACCATGATTGTTGAAGTCCTTCTACTGTTTATAGTACTAAGTGAATTGGATATACATATTGATAAAAAAGAATTTTGACCATTACAATGTATATAAATGTTAGTTCCATATGTATCTATAATTAGATCTGAATGTGAAACATGAAACAATGAAGAATTTATAAGAAAGGATAGACGGGGCCGGCCCGGTGGCGCACTGCTACAGTGCGCCGCTTGGGAGCGCGGCGGCGCTCCCGCTAAGGGTTCGGATCCCACATTCAGACCGTTCCCGCTCACTGGCTGAGCGAGGTGCGGGCGCGACACCGAGGGTTGCGATCCCGTTGCCGGTCCCGGTCCGGTCCGGGCGCGACACTGAGGGTTGCGATCCGTTGCTGGACACGAAAAAAGACAAAAAAAAAAAGAAAAAAAAGAAAGGATAGAAGAATATCCTCAAGACCTTGTTGTAAATAAAATCTTATTCAGTATATAAAAAGCTCTCCGGTCCGGGCGCGACACTGAGGGTTGCGATCCGTTGCTGGACACGAAAAAAGACAAAAAAAAAAAAGAAAAAAAAGAAAGGATAGAAGAATATCCTCAAGACCTTGTTGTAAATAAAATCTTATTCAGTATATAAAAAGCTCTGAACATAGAAGAAATATAAAGGAAAAAAAAGATTAAACTCTATTAAAATTTAAAACTTCTCTTTATCAAAAGTGCATTAAATAAATTTTGGTATTTTCATCCAGTGGAATATCATACAGTTATGAGAATTACAGAACTATAATCATACTCAACAATCTGGATGAATCTCATAGATATTACACAGTAAAAAATTCTGTTTGTATTAAGTTAAAACAAACAGATAAAACTAATCTAGAGTGTTAAAAGAATAATGATTATCCTTTATCTGGAAAGGGGATATGAAGGCAGTTTCTGGTAATATTCTGTTTATTGATATGTGTGCCATTTACATAGGCATGTTCATTTGGAGAAAATTCTTTAAGCCATCTGTTTATTATTTGTGTATTTATGTGGTATTTCAATAAAAAGTATGCAAAAAAGTTTAGATGCGTAAAAGCACGCATAGAGTGAGCTTCTCTTTTTTGTAGAAAAGGAGGGGTAGGTTATTTATACCTGCTTGCTTGTATGTGTGTAAAATATCTCTGCAAGTTATGTAATAAACGGATACCATTGGTTGCCTGGGGTGGTGAGAGACAGGATGGAAGGGAGATTTTTTGAGATCTGTTTAAGATAAGTTCAGAAAAGATGGACGTGTCCTCCACTTCATGGTCTAAAGTGTATCTAGTGGTGCTTATCCATTACAGATTTTGTGTTATAAGAACATACTTTGGTGTATCATTTCTGCCCAATTTTAGATAAGATTTACATAAGTTAAACTAAGATGGAATCATTCTTATTGGCAGTTGTCAGAAGGCCAGACAGTGGAATATGTTCATGTAAAGCTTGCAGATATGTGAATACATATCTGAGGAGATCTGCATAACAATATATTCTCAGGGCAACAGGGACTGTGAGGATTCTGTTAGCTGAGGACATTTATTTGATCATTTCTGAAGAGATGAAATAATTCAGGTGCAAAAAACTAAATGTATCTCCTTACCATCAGTGTTTAGTGGCTGTTACCAGTCAGCATGGAGAGTTTGGCTAGGTAATGAGGTGCTAATGTCCAGGGGTCTGGGCCCAAGTTGCACTGTAGTTTTGTCTCCAGACTGCTCTCAGTTTCAGTATCACGCAAATTCATTTCATGTAGGAGAGGGTGCCCTACCTCTCCCTCTGAAAAGATTTGTTGTCACCAAGATTATTTCTTGGCAAACAGCAATGTGACATAAACTCTGGTGATTGGTGCAGTTGACTGTTCGCTTACATGGTTGAGGTTACTTTTGGGTGATAATGTTTTCGTCAACATACTTTTGGCTTCTGAATTAAAATGAACATGTTTATTTAAAAATTTTGATTGGGTAACCACCCAGAGTAAGTGGAAATGACTGATAAAGTAATAACTTAGTCTTTGTCTCTTGAGTGGTTTTTTGTTTGTTTTCAGGTCTGTCTCTCTAAGGCTTTTTTCTCAAGGTCGCCTTAAAGCATTCTGTCTCCTTTCAACTGGTCATATATATATTTTTTTCTTCTTGTCTTCCTTCAAAAAAAAAAAAAAAACCTACTCCTACTTACCTGGCTTTAGAGCAAGGAATTATGCTTAAATTCTAGCTGTTTAAGAAATTTTTCATAAGGAAAAATTTCAACGAGAAAATTTTAGTGTATGTGTATCCTGAATCTGTTATTAGGCAAGTTATGTATTTTGTTTTCTAAAAATCTTCTATTAATATTTATTATGATTTTTCCTTTATATTTTTATTTGTAATTTATTGGTACTTCTATGGAAATTTCTGGACTATTTTATAAGGAACTTCCTTAGAAAAGATTGTCTATGGCAGAGTGTTACTTCTTGAACAGATTACTTATATACTCTTGCATGTATCAAAAAGAAAATTAAGTTCTTTCCGACCTATATTGAAAAGAATTATACTGTAGGGATGTCATTATCTTCTATATCTTCTGATATATATGTCTGATCTAGAAAGACTACAGAATTTTTTATGTGTTCTTGTATATCTTCAATTTTGTGGACCCAGGAGTTGCCTGTTGACCAGTTCCTCTTACTTTAATTGATTAAGATGTTCTGCTTTTCTCCTTTCCATATTTATTGTAGGTGGAGGAGTTATTGATGGCCATGGAGAAAGTAAAGCAGGAACTAGAGTCCATGAAAGCAAAGCTGTCCTCCACCCAACAGTCTCTGGCAGAAAAGGAAACTCATTTGACCAATCTTCGGGCAGAGAGAAGGAAACACTTAGAGGAAGTTCTGGAGATGAAGTAAGTGTTTGCAATCTTATTCTTCAAACATATGCTTAGTAGAAATATTTTTCTTCATTGCTTTCATCTTGTGGCTCTGTTTATTACTACATATACGCTTAGCCTAATTTTAATGTATTTAACTTGTATTTCTCTCTCTCTAGAATACATTGGATCTAATGTGGAGGAAATCCTAGAATTGTTTTTGCCTCCTCTTCAATTAATTTTAAAGTCCTCTAGCATGTGTATCTGTGTCTAATTGCCTCTCTGAAATTCCTAAAATCTTCTGGAAAGTTCAGGCAAATTGGTGAGCTTACTGGGAAAGATGATGGTTGGTTCTGAGGTCAAATGATGACTAGGAAATTTTTAAAAACATTTTTAAAGGTTCACAAAAGTAGAGAGAATAGTATTATGAAGCCCCTTTTACCTGTTCCCCAGATAAAACAATTGACATTTTGCCACAGTGGAAGTCAACTTTTACAAAATTGTCACTTTTAACAAAACTTTGCTGTACATCATTTTCCTACTTGCCCCACGTTTGTGGATTCCTGAGATTATAATCTGTGATGAAACATGTGTACATCTGCTAGCCCATAATAGGTGATTCGTCTTCTTCTCTGTGACCTTTTGTTTAGAACACGTATGTCTCTTTTGAAAATTCAATAGTACTGGCTCATTTACCGTTCCCAAACTTAACCCTTACAGAAAGGCCCTCCTCTCATTTTACTAAAACCAAGTCTATCTTGGGATTCCTCAGTTACCTTTGTTACATCTGTACTTTTGTTGTCTTCTCTTCTATCTCAAAGGAAATATTCTTTCACCTTCATAAGTCAGCTTCTTATCTCTGTCACAGATTTTAAGCACTGGTCCCCTCCTCTCTAATCTTTCTCTATCAATTTTCTCTCATGTAATTCTTCTGTTAGTTCCTTCTTCTTTGCATAAATATACAGTCTCTCTCTGGCCTAAATAAACAAACTTTTCAACCCAATTAGTGCTTTAAGCTGCCATCACCTCTTCTTTTCTGCTACTTTGAACTATCAGTAAATTTTGAATACCTGAATAATAAATAGCGTATGATAGGATCTTGCCATGATGCCTCAGCATGAGTTTTCATGGGGCATACTTATTGTGATATTGTGATAGCAGCCCGAGATTTGAGGATGCAAATGTTGGGGTGTTACCTGTGCTTGTAGGTTGTTAGGCCCCAGTGCAAGATTAAGAGATTCTAACATTTCAGAAGGGCATTATGGATGTAATGAGTAAGTGAAGCCGGAAATAGATCAATATGCTGGGAGGATAGGGAGAGGTTAGGTTCTGAGTAGTCATCGTGAGAAAAGAGTTTGCAGATATGCTTGTTAGGACCAAATTAGTGAAAGAGGTGTAGAATAACTTTTTGTTACCGATGGCAAAATACAAAGCTTGATATTTTGGAGGTGGAGTAGAAGAGGTAATTCTTCAGCAGTAAAGAGTAGAATCATTAGATGTGAGGAGAATCACTAGATTTGAGAACCATTCCTAGAACATGATGGGAACTAGAGTTGAGAAGAAAATAAAGTCAGGTCCCAAAGTCATTAAGAAAATGGAGGGAGGATGGATATGGTGTAGGGGAAAACAAGGTATCATGTAATGATATTCGCACGGAGAAGCATGCCTTGTTCAAGCAACAGTACATATGTTATTTGATTTCTCTGAGCACCAATATATGATTTTACTTGTCGGATCTTTTAAACTCAGTTCAAAAGCTATTTATAGCAAAGTTGTGGTATATTGGTGTAGGAATTTTCCTTTATCATTAGGACTTTGAGATGTTATGAAGGAATTTGTTTTAAGAATACTTGAATGAAAAGAGAATTGTGTGTGATTTTTTTTGGGGGGGTGGAGGTTACTGTCAAACTGAACTTTATCATGGACTTCCCTTACCAACCCAGGTGGGAAATTACATTTCTGGAAAATACTGTGATTAGCAAAATTGTTATTTGTAAGACAAGCACTCACACAATAAGGCATGGGATAGTTAAAAGATATAAAGAAATGCACACGTATAAGCAATGTAGAAATTCAGAAAACAAACATTAAATAAAAGTTCTAGAAATAAAGTATTAAAATCTGGCTCCGAGGGATGGCCAGTTTCTTATTCATTCATTCATTTAATTTATTGTTAGACATACATGTCAGGTACAGTGTTGATTTTCAATAATTGTGTACAGTGTGTGCTGGTTAGATCAGTATAGTTAGCTTATTCATCCTTGCAATGTGCAATCATTCTTTGTGTCCGCTGACCAATTCTTCATTAGCCCCCCTTCCGCTCTCCTCTCTCAGGCCCTCTCCCTTCCCCTTCTCCACCTCTAATTTTCTAAAAGTTCATCGTATTACTGTGCTTGTTGTTTCTTTCTTTCTTTCTCTCTGTCTCTATTGTTCATTTGTTTCTTAAATCATCTTCTTCAGTTGCTCAGGATATATTACTGTGGCATCTCCATGTTCTTCGTCGGATTTTCCACAAGTTTTCTGTCATGCAGATTGTACCATCTCAAAGTTTTTACAACAGTCCTTGGTTTAATTCCCACTTGAATTTCCCCTTGTTGTCTTTCATTTTCATATCTTAGTAAGATGCTTGTCTAATACCTTCATATTAATAAATTATCTCAGTGCTTTAGGCCTAATCCTGTCTCTAAATATTCCATTGAGAAAATGGTGGTTCCTAGTAGGTCTTCTCTGTTTGCATTGCCCTGTAGACCAACCCACAGGGTTCATGATGGGGAGCAACAGTTGCTCTGTTCTTTCCATCTAGATCAGTTATTTGAAACCCCTTGTATTAGTCCGTTTCTGTTGCTTATAACAAAGTACCTGGAACTGGGTAACTTATGAAGAAAATGGAATTTATTGCTTACACTTTCAGAGGCTGGGAAGTCCGAAGTCCAGGGAACACATGTGATGAGGGCTTTGTCCTGGTAGTGACTACAGTGACTCTAGGGTATCACATGGCGAATTGGCAGAGCAGAGAGAGCTTTTTGTGTGCTCTCCTTTGAAAGCCCTCCAAACCATGTCCATGACCACCATTAAACCCTCAACTTAATCACCTCTTCAAGGCCCTGCCTTTCAATTATCATAATAGGATTTCTCACCCTCTTAACAGTTCACAGTGCGGAATCAAGCTTCTAATACATAAAACTTGGGGAACACAATTCAATCCATATAACTTTTATACTTTTTTTAAAATGTGGATTTTTAAAGTTTGGCATACAAATATAAAGTAATGATTCGTAGAATCTCTACTAAAAACTATGCAATTAACCTACATGTAATTACTATAAATGACTTTTTTTTTTTTTTTTGTCTTTTTGTCTTTTTCCGTGTCCGGCAATGGATCGCAACCCTCAGTGTTGCCCCCGTACCGGACCGGGGACCGGCAACGGGATCGCAACCCTCGGCGTTGCTCCCGCGCCTCGCTCAGCCAGTGAGCGGGAACCGGTCTGTATGTGGGATCCAAACCCTCGGGCGGGAGCACCGCCACGCTTCCCAAGCAGCGCACTATCCAGTGTGCCACCGGGCCGGCCTATAAATGACTTATTACAGGGTTCTGATATAGTAAACTTTCAATTCCTTTTCACTAGGGAATAGTCTTTCTTCTGCTGTGTTGGGGACTCTTCCTCTCCATGTTTTGAAAAAGTTCTGATAGTCTGTCCAGCTTGGCTGGGGTTTTTCCGTTTCTAAAAATTTGCTCAGAATTTACTTTATTCTGTTGTTAATTTGTAAGGAGATGTACTCCCTCCAAGGGAGCATGACAGTGTGCCTCCAATTACTTATGATAACTAGTAAGAGCATGATGCTTACGATAAAAGAGCTTGAATCTGAATTCTGACTCTGCCATTTATTAGCTGTATGAACTCAGCAAGTTATAAACTTCTCTATGCCTGAGTCTTCTCATTTTTAAAATGGCAATAATAATTGTTTCTACTTCCTAAGAGTTTTTATGAGAATTAAATAAGAAATTATTAATATATGGAATTGAGAACAGTGCCTGGCACAGAAGATACTTAATAGTTACATATTATTAGTTTGCTGTAAGTGTTTCCTGGTGATGATTTGTAGTAAAACAGAAAATTATTGAAGAAAAATTTAAGAGGAGAAAGGCAATATCCTACCTGTGGCTGTTGACGATGACAACCAGATTTATTACACTGTAGCCATTGCAGGACCCAACATATTTTAAAGGTTTAGATTATAGATAATTGAAGAAGCAAAATTTGAAATGTAGAAGAATTATGAGGGGAATGCAGTGTGCAAAGAGACTGATATATGTATATATGTGACTGGATCTAGAATAAGAGATAGTCTTCCCTGAGGAAAGACTTCCCATTTGCGTAGAAAATTCTTCAAAAGGGCCAGCCCGATGGCGCACTGGATAGTGCGCCGCTTGGGAAGCGCGGCGGCGCTCCCACCCGAGGGTTCGGATCCCACATACGGACCGGTTCCTGCTCACTGGCTGAGCGAGGCGCGGGAGCAGCACCGAGGGTTGCAATCCCGTTGCCGGTCGCCGGTCCCCGGTCCGGTACGGGGGCAACACTGAGGGTTGCGATCCATTGCCGGACACGGAAAAAAGACAAAAAGACAAAAAAAAAAAAAAAAAAGAAAATTCTTCAAAAAACTATACTATAGAATAGTATAGTTTTCTGGAATAATCCTGACCTCAATGCAAGGAAATGACCTAATAGTTCTTTTACATCCCTAGCATTTATGATTATAATTTTTGAACATCTGTTACAGATAAATGGTGGCCGTGAGTTTGGGGAGAAGTAAAACTGTTTGCTTGGTAGACTGCCAGTGGTACATTAGAAACATTTGAGTTGGTTTAGCCAGTCCTAAAGAGTAGGAACATTTTTTTTTTGGCAGCTGGCCGGTACAGGGATCCAAAGAGAAGGAACATTTTTATTGGCAGATCCTACAGTGTGGTTCTTCTTTTCCTTGTGCTGTGGTTTTGTTAGCTATTATTTTTTTTATTCCACTTCTGTGTTAACCTCTTT